AGATTTCTCACATAATATATAGGTTGTGTGGGGTCTATGTTCTCCTATTCCACATTCCATAACATGGCATTTATTACCATTAAATTCCATTTGCCAAGTGGTGCTCCGGATACTTATTTTGTCAAGGTCATCTTGAAGGGCATGACAATCATCTAAGTTTCTTATCCTTCCTATTATCTTAGCATCATCAGCAAACATGTTCATATAATTCTGTATACCAACTGGTAGATCATTTATGTAGACAATAAACATCACTGGTGCAAGAACTGAACCCTGTGGTACTCCACTTGTGACATTTCTCCAGTCCGATACATTGCCTCTGATCACTGCCTTCATTTTTCTATCAGTCAGAAAATTGTTCATCCATGTTAGAAACTTACCTGTCACCCCTCCAATATTTTCCAGTTTCCAGAACAACCTCTTATGTGAAACTCTGTCGAAAGCCTTTTTTAGGTCCAGATAGATGCAGTCAACCCAACCATCTCTTTCCTGTAATATCTCTGTTGCTCGATCATAGATCGAGCAACAGAGTGAGTGAGTGTGTGTGTGTGTGTGTGTGTGTGTGTGTGTGTGTGTGTGTGAGCACTGAAAACGTAGGTGATGTAAAACACAAAGATTTCCAAATGGATGAAGAGACGTGGATACAATGATCAAAAATCTCTAAGTCAGGAAGATTACCCTAAGAAATCAATACTCCAATTTCAATGTTTGAAATTAGGGAAGTATTTTATGTTTTTCCAGATAAGTGCATTCTCCTAATCTTGCTGGACAGCAAAGCATTCACAAGGCATTTATGTGAGACAAGTGATTGTTTTGTTTTCATGATTATTTTGATATACGGTTAAATATGTTGTATCTGGTTAACACTGATAAGTAAATATACACATTCGAGCGCTACATCAAACTTTCCCCAACACACACAAATCATCATACAATTTAGAAGCTGTTGTGACAGATAGACTCAAAAGTGAATAAAAAAAATATATGGTTTATTGTTAGCTGATAGACATTTTTAGAAAAACCTTTCCTTATTCCCTCAAGGCGTTAAGGGAATGTCAGAAATCCTTAAAAAATGCCTTTGCATTGTTTGTTAAGTTCCCCGAAAATACTTTGACACAGAGGAAATAGGTTTCAAGAACAAGTTATTCAAAGACGAATATTCAGTCATACACAACGCTACATTACCAACAACTGCGACTCATCCACTGGACCATAAACATATATTTATACCCAGTCTTTGTACATAATTCACAAAACCTACGTATATTTTTCCCCATAGTTAAATCAATGAGGATAATAGTCACTTTGATGATGATTTCCACTTGGAAATAATTCCTGCAGCTGATGTGTTATAAAATGGTAGACATGGTATGACTATATATAAAAATATAGTAATCGTGCTGCCAAACCAGTATAATTATAGTTTGTTGTTAGAGTATTTTTACTGGTGGAGTACTTTAACCCTGGCTAGAGTTGGACATTGAAGGACAAGTGAAATTTGCCATACCGTTTAATTCTGAGAAAAAACTTTACAAATTATTGTCTTGAAAACGTTCATGATGCACACTGGAAAAGTTAGAACATATAATAAATTGAGAATTGTCATCGACGGAAAAGATTACACCTGTTAAATGATAATGTTGAAAATTGAACTTTTTAGTAGATTATAGCAAAGAGGTTGATAATATTCTATTTGCACAATTATTGCGTGATCAAGTTAAGTCGACGCATTCAATGCATACTTGATCAAGAGCGAGATACCAACATCATAGATGAACAAACTCTTCCTTTAACTGTAAGTACTAATCATTAGCTAGCATAAAAATCAACATAAACTTCAATATACACATAATAGCATAAATGAAACCCCACCTAATCTCTTGTTCAAAATCGAACACTATTTATTTGGAAAGTATTGTGCAGTCCTCTAACAGATATTTATACCCACAGACCCTAGTTGTATATCACCTGCACTATACCCACAGACCATAGTTGTACATCACCTGCACTATAGCCACAGACCCTAGTTGTATATCACCTGCACTATAGCCACAGACCCTAGTTGTATATCACCTGCACTATACCCACAGACCATAGTTGTACATCACCTGCACTATAGCCACAGACCCTAGTTGTACATCAGCTGCACTATACCCACAGACCCTAGTTGTATATCACCTGCACTATACCCACAGACACTAGTTATACATCACCTGCACTATACCCACAGACCCTAGTTGTACATCACCTGCACTATACCCACAGACACTAGTTGTACATCACCTGCACTATACCCACAGACACTAGTTGTACATCACCTGCACTATACCCACAGACCATAGTTGTACATCACCTGCACTATACCCACAGACCCTAGTTGTACATCGCCTGCACTATACCCACAGACCATAGTTGTACATCACCTGCACTATACCCACAGACCCTAGTTGTACATCACCTGCACTATACCCACTGACCCTAGTTGTATATCACCTGCACTATACCCACAGACCATAGTTGTACATCACCTGCACTATACCCACTGACCCTAGTTGTATATCACCTGCACTATACCTACAGACCATAGTTGTACATCACCTGCACTATACCCACAGACCCTAGTTGTATATCACCTGCACTATACCTACAGACCATAGTTGTACATCACCTGCACTATACCCACAGACCCTAGTTGTATATCACCTGCACTATACCCACAGACACTAGTTGTATATCACCTACACTTTGACAATAATGTTTCCTGTGAACATTAACCGAAGATCTAGAGAACACCCACAGACTGGAGCACAGACCTCAGCAAACACCCGGGTAATGAACACATGGATGCAGGGGTAGAGAGAGGAGGAAGAGGAGGAATTATCAGGAGAAAGCGCCAAGCCATTATCACTGTAGCACTGGGTAGGGATTTATGGTTTTGGGATGAGACGGGGGAGAGAAATGGTGCCCCACCATGAAATGGGGGCCTCGTAGCCTGGTGGATAGCGCGCAGGACTCGTAATTCTGTGGCGCAGGTTCGATTCCCGCACGAGGCAGAAACAAATGGGCAAAGTTTCTTTCACCCTGAATGCCCCTGTTACCTAGCAGTAAATAGGTACCTGGGAGTTAGTCAGCTGTCACGGGCTGCTTCCTGGGGGTGGAGGCCTGGTCGAGGACCGGGCCGCGGGGACACTAAAAAGCCCCGAAATCATCTCAAGATAACCACCACTTGGACGGACGGGGATTGAACGTCGACCTACATGGAGCAAGACTGTCGCTCTGCCGTCCACTCCAAGTGGGTAGAGAGTCCACCACAATATTACAGTCCCATGTTACAGGTGAGGCGTGCACCCAACACATTATGTCCCTCCACCAGGGAGCCGGTCGGCCGAGCGGACAGCACGCTGGACTTGTGATCCTGTGGTCCGGGGTTCGATCCCAGACGCCGGCGAGAAACAATGGACAGAGTTTCTTTCATCCTATGCCCCTGTTACCTAGCAGTAAAATAGGTACCTGGGTGTTAGCCAGCTGTCACGGGCTGCTTCCTGGGGGTGGAGGCCTGGTCGAGGACCGGGCCGCGGGGACACTAAAGCCCCGAAATCATCTCAAGATAACCTCAAGATAAGATAACCAGGCGTCATATGCCTGGCATTTTGGTCACCAGCCACTACACAGTTGCTTAGCACCCTGGACCATACTGATCGGCAGTCGGGACCATATTGATCAGTAGTCGGGACCATATTGATCGGCAGTCAGTACCATATTGATCAGCAGTCGGGACCATATTGATAGGCCGTCAGTACCATTTTGATCAGCAGTCGGGACCATATTGATCGGCTTTCAGGATCATATTGATCACCAGCCAGGACCACGTTGATAATCAATTACTACATAGATCAACAGGCACTGCTACATTAATCAGCATCAATGATCAAGTTAATAAATTTCATTATAATTGTTAATACTTAAATAAATATTGCTAACTATGACACAAAAGTTAATGATAAGTTAGGTTAGGCTAGGTTAAGTTAGGTGAGGTTAGTAAGGATAGGTGAGGCTAGGTTTGGTGAAGTAAGCTTATCTGAGGTGAAGTAAGGCGAGGCTAGGTTAGATGAGGTTAGGTTTGGTTAGGTTAGGTGAGGTTAGGTTAGATGAGATTAGGTTAAGCTAGGTTAGGTTAGGTAAGTTTTTTTTGTTAGAAAAGGAGTTGAAGAATGGGACACACTAGTGAACACTGTGCTTCTATATCCGCCACCAAGATAATGTTATTAAAACAAGACTAAAACCAGTGCGCTAAAACAGCAGCGGAAAAAAACGGGAGAAAAGGAAAAAAACCCACCTTAAAACTTTGACCCAAATATCACAATAACAAGGTTATGGCGAATAACCGAACTCAATTACAGGGTCACTATATCACGTGCTACATGGACATTTCTTTCTGAGTAGTTTAATCTAAAACAACAACAACATATGATTAATTTAGGCTATGTGAGGTTAGATTAATGAAGTTAGATTAGGTGTGGTTAGTGAAGGTTAGGTTAGGTTAGGTGAGACGAGGTTAGGTTAGGTTGATGAAGGTGAGAATTTGTGGTTTTATATAACTCGTTGCTGCAGTATATCTCAATGACTCTTGTATATCTCGCTGGCTGTTGTATATACCTCAAAGACTGTTGTAAATATATTTGGCTGTTCTATATATCACTGGCTGTTAAGTAAACTTGAAAGTTTGCATAAACATGTGTAGACAGATGTTAGGCACCCTCTAAAAGACCCCTTCAGACCAATGTGTTCGAAAGTACCACTCTGGTAATTCAGGCAAATCCAAGGTGGTCTCAGACTTCTGAATAAAAAGCTAACGTATTAATTAAGCATTTACACTCTCTTTTATCAAGTGTTGATATGGAGCTTTGGCTACCTATATGAAACTCCACATGTAATTCCTCACACTGCAGCCTTGAACATAACTAGTAAAATAACAAATATATTTCGTGATGAGGCGTCCATCAGGGAAGACTGTTGACTGTCACAAGCTCCAGGAAGAGTACAAAGACACAGACAGTGAGACCAGCAATAAATATGACAAACATTCCCTGAAATACAGAGGTTAGCTCTATTAATAGTCAAGATTCCCATACTCAAAATCATTCAAATTAAAAAATGCATTTTGAGCATTTTCTTGTGTCATTATTTACTTGTATAAAGCTATTAAGCAGTTCTATTACCCAGATATTCTTAAGAGAAAGTGACTCCTGGACGACGATTTTTGTCTGAGCATGACGACACACGGTGGAGTTTGGCTCAGCGGACTTCATCCAGTGTAGGAACAGTCCAGCCTCAGTCATCACCCGTATCCTTTATCAATACAACAGTCAAAATAAATATTGTATAACTCCAACAATATATTCACTTTCATAAGAACATGAGAACATAAGAATTAAGTAAACTTCATAAACCTGTCCAATCGAATTACCTCCAATCCCTATTCAACCAAACAATCATGCACTGCGGTAAGTTGTCTGTTATGAGGGGCATGGTGTAATATCATACACTGTGGTATCTTGTATTATGGTTAGATATCATACACTTTAGTATATTGTCCGTTAAGGGGGTATGGTGTGATATCATAAACTACGGTATATCATCTGTTATGATGGTATGGTGAGATATCATACACTGGTATATTGTCTGTTATGGGGGGGGTATGGTGTGATGGTGTCTGTGAGCTCCATCAGCTCAGCCTCAGGTGAGGCTACACATTCCACTTCACACTGTTATTCTTTATATTTCACGCACATATCATGTGTAAACTGTGTGTGAACACTTTAATCAGTTTGACGTGTAGTTTACACCACTATACAAAGGTCCAAGGATATAACACAGCTGAAATTAATCACCTTGTACGTCAATGGTGTAGCTTCAAGTGGTGGAGTTTTGTTTACTGTCTCCATACTAACTGAATACACCAAAAGGCAGGTAACGTAACCCAATCTTTGGGTAACTTAAAACTTTGGGTAACTAGGTTTTGCGTAAAACCTAGACCCAATCTAGGATCAATTTACACAATCGTTAACAAAACTTATTATTATTGTTATTATTATTATGTTACGAACCCAAGACCACCGTCGGAGCACGGAGCAGGGACGACAACGCCATCTGTATGTCCGCTCCCAAAAACCCCCACAACATGGACAACGCTATCTAGTGATGACGGGATATGCCGGCAATGGGCGCTGAATTCCTGTCGTAGTCGGCTCGTGAAGTAGCCGCTGCTGACCTCTGGTGAGGTGGCGCTTAGACAGTGAACGCCATCTATGGAGCGAAAAGGTGGACGTTTGTGTCTAAGCCAGTAAGTGATGTTTCCTAGTGGTTCCCATGTAGTGTCCCAGTACTGATGACGTGTCTGCTTTTACAGAGTCAACCTAGGACTGCTGTGATGTACGATGAATGAGGCTATCCAAGGCAGCCAAGGTCTCTACACCTGTCTGCTTTACAGAAGCAGTGAACCGCCGCCGGACGAGAACTGTAGAGTTATCAATTGTCTGCCTGAGAAGTGGCAGTGACGGGATTCGCCGTACCCGGGGCTGGCTGGTGGAAGACACAACCCACTGTGGTGCCGACCGAGGAGAGTAACCAGCGAGTTACACGAGGCTCCTGACTAGATACTCGCAACCCTAGTATACGTCGTGAAGTGGCCTAACAGCGAGGCTCATTGGTACCTGCCAGCTACAGGCTGGACTGTGGTTGTGGGCCTTCACGACGAGGCACCCAGTGGGATTGTGATTTGGCTGGCCTGTGGCCAGAGTAGATTCATCGTGGGTTCTGGCCCACGGAATAGGAAACCAGGCAAGACTACACAGAGTGAGCATTGCCAAGTGTACAGCATCTTCAGAGGGAGACGAAGAGATATATTGCGTAGTAATAGTTCCCGTTTGTGTCTTTTAATTTATATATGGTGGTGGGAGGAGAAATATATATATATATATAGAAAGTGATGTACTTGTGTATTTAATGTACCTCCCCTGTGTATTTTACTTGCATTACGGAGTTCACCCCTTGAAAGCCTCTACTAACTTGGGGCCGGATACCCAAAAACTAATTCCATCAGAAAAGAACCTGGTTGCGTCCTATTAGGGCCGTAACACATGGATATAACACAGCTGAAATAATCACCTTGTATGTCAATGGTGTAGCTTCAAGTGGTGGAGTTTTGTTTACTGTCCGCATATTAACTGAATACACCAAAAGGCAGGTAAGGTAACCCAATCTTTGGGTAACTTAAAACTTTGGATAACTAGGTTTTGCGTAAAACCTAGACCCAATCTAGGATCAATTTACACAATCATTAACAAAACTTATTATTATTGTTATTATTATTATTTTATTATTATCTGGTTAAACAATTATTTATTTATTTATTATATGTATTTATTTTAGAGTATTACCATAATATGATTAGAGGTATTGTATTTAATTACATATCCTGGAATGAAACCCATTACAGATGTCTTTCTGTGATGTTGTCTCTCAAAATGGACGTTATTTGCTGAGAAGACATTCTCTTTGTCTTGGGTGAGTTTGGCTTGGTTCGATAAATAGTACCATTGTAGCCATGTACTCGCTCATAGACTATGTTATACCAAATTTTTGTTGTAAATTTTCCACAATAGTTAGGTAATAACCACACTACTAGTTCAAGTAGGCAAAGCAGTTGTGCCTAATAACCTTAAAATTTTTATTATCTTTTAAAAATATATATATTAATAAAAAATATTAACTTATAATTTTGCTTTCAATTTATACTTGTTTTTAAATTTATACAATGTATGCTTATAAACGTTTAAATTTACACAATTTATACTTTTTTACTTTTATATTTAGGTCTATTTTTACTTTTGTTGGGCAGAATTAAAGAATAATTGCTGTATTTAATCTACCAAGTTTGTTTTTTTTATTGAAATTTAAAATCTTTCAATTATGTTTATAAGATGTATATAACGTTTCAACTATTCCATTAATGGTTAAATGAAACTAAGCACACTATACCTCCTACTTAAAGCTGAAACAATTGGACTTCCCTTCTGGCCCACCATAGCAAACATCAGAGGGAGAAACCCCTCTCTAGACACGTAGAAGGAACACTGACCTGTGTAGGAATGACAAGACACTTTATAGTTGTATGTATATCACAATATATATATATATTGTATGTATATCACAATATTATATATTGTATGTATATATAGATTATGTATATAACAAATATATTCCACTTGAAAACTAATTTGTAATTGTTTATCTGAACATAGTTATAAATTCATATTTTTTCATATAATTTATGTATTCTTCAGTTTTGTGGTAAACAAAATGATTGCGGTTTGATTCAGAATAAAATACCTGAAATGCTAAAATCTCGAGACATGTAAATCTTTAAACCAAAGTCGACCTCCATGAGAACGTGGTCTCCCCCCCTCACCAAGGTGTCCATGCTCTCTCCGAACTGTGGGTGACTTCTGTATATAAGACGACCCTTCTCTTCCAGACCAACAATCTCATGGAATATTCCAGACTTGACCTCCTGCAAATATCGAAATCACGCTCATTTTTCTTTTTCATTGAAACAATTTAATTGTAAGTGATAATAAGGTAAAATAATGTTATGTATTTTTTACTTATACGATAATATATTGACTGATATGATAATAACATTGACCGACTCGTTATGTGTGTAAGCTGAGGCTGAAAATCCTGGTATAATTGACATCAGTGAAACATGAACCGAGAGGACATAACTGTTATGGACCCGAGTCCAGCATCGGAGCACGGAGCTGTGACAACAATGCCATCTGTGAGTCTGCTCCCGAAACCCCACCAAATAGACGACGCCATCTAGTGAGGACGGGATATACCGGCCACAGGTGCTGGATTCCCGTCTTAATCAGCTCATAACATAGCCGCTGCTGACCTCTGGTGAGGTGGCGCTTAGACAGCAACGCCATCTATGGAATGAAGAGGTGGACGTTTGTGTCTAAGCCTGTAAGTGAGGTTCCCTAGAGCGTCCCAGTACTAATGACGTGTCTGATTGCAGAGTCGACCTGGGACTGCTGTGTTGGATGATGAATCAGTCTACCCAAGGCAGCCACGGTCTCTTCACGAGTCTGCTCTGAAGAAGCTGTGAGTCACCCCCGGACGAACTCTGTTGAGAGTATTAGCCTGCCTGTGGCGTGGCAGTGTTGGGAATCGCCTTATCCGGGGCTAGCTGGTGGAAGGGACTAGCCACTGTGGTGCTTAGTGAGAAGAGTGATCAGTGGGATCACACGAGGCTCCTGCCTAGGGTTCGCAACCCTAGAATCGGTCTTGGAGTGGCCTACACAGCGAAGCTGATCGGTACCTGCCAGCTACAGGCTGGATTGTAGTTTAAGGCCTCCACGACGAAGCACCCAGTGGGACTGTGATTTGGCTGGCCTGTGGCCAGGGTAGATTCGCCAATAGAATCATAGAGGATTCATCGTGGGACACGGAAGAAGGAACCAGGGCTACCCAGAGTGAGCACCGTGGAGCATCCAGTGTCTTCGGAGGAAGACAACCTTGTACATAATAGTGTAGTTATAACCCCCGCGTGTGACTGATATTTATTTATTCTTGGTGATGAAAATATATATATAAATCAGAACATTTGTATCCCTCCCCCTTTAATTTACCTTGCATTACGGAACACATCCCTTGAAAGCCTCTACTAACTTGGGGCCGGATACCCAAACTGTAATACCATCAGAGAAGAACCCGGTTGCGTCCCACTAGGGCCGTAACAATAACTGAAAGAGATTTAAATCTCCCGAGATATGAATATCCACCATTCAAGTAGGAAAGAACAACAAGAGCATGTGGGGTGATATTGTATATGAAAGAGGACCTGGATGTAACCACCAATGAGGAACTGAACACCATGGGATACTCAGAGTCTGCATGGAGCCACATACTAGCTCGAGATGGTACTAAAATAACAGAGGGAGTATGCTACAGGACTGAGACAGCCACACAGAAGAAGTTGCTGATCTGAATAATGTGATCAATGCTGTTGTGGAATCTCGAACCCTTATAATAGGTGACTTTAACCATAGATTAGGTAAATCTAACAACACAGGCAGAAGGAGAAAAATTTCTAGACCCGATGCAGAACTCCTTTCTCATACAGCTTTTGACAGAGTCTACACGAGTTTTTTTTTTTTTTTTTGAGATATATACAAGAGTTGTTACATTCTTGTACAGCCACTAGTACGCGTAGCATTTCGGGCAGGTCCCTGGAATACGATCCCCTGCCGCGAAGAATCGTTTTTTCATCCAGGTACACATTTTACTGTTGCGTTAAACAGAGGCTACAGTTAAGGAATTGCGCCCAGTAAATCCTCCCCGGCCAGGATACGAACCCATGACATAGCGCTCGCGGAACGCCAGGCGAGTGTCTTACCACTACACCACGGAGACTGCTTAATATGAATATTATGATATGAATTAATATGACTGCTTAATAACTAGGTTAAAACATTCTAGATCATATGCTAACAACAGAAGAGGGTAGGATTGATCCAATACTTGTGAGGAAAAAGCTAACCCCCCTCGTGCGACCATCATATTTTTAGATGGACGATGAACATAAATACCTACATAAAGGTCAGAGATGACGAATTTCTAGATTACCATCAAGGAGATTATCAAGGAATGAGAGAGAAACTGCAAAACATGTCCCGGAGGGAGATGATTGGGGAACATGGCATAGAAGCATTATGGCAAAATTTCTAGGTCATTACAGACCTCGCTCAAAAATATGTCCCAAAAAAGAAGAAAGAATAGAAAGGGAACTAATTGGATGACACAGGTCGTAAAATGAGCACTTACCAAATCCACAATGGACAAATCCACAATGGACAACATTGATTATCGGATATATAAAAGGGCACTAAACTCGACCACCCAGGAAGTCAGTCAAAAGAAACTACAAAAGGAAACTTTCCCGAAACATAAGGAAAAATCCAAAATAATTCAATGCTTATATAAAAAGTAAAACCTAACTTACCAAGTTTAAAAACTTACCAAGGACTTGGTAAGACCCTTAAAAGATGAGACTAACCAAGTTTTAATGGACGATAAAAGGGCAGTAAACATTCCGAATAAATATTTTACATCAGTGTTGACCAGACCACACACTAGAAGGTGAAGGGACGACGACGTTTCGGTCCGTCCTGGACCATTCTCAAGCCGTCCTGGACCATTCTCAATCGACTTGAGAATGGTCTAGGAAGGACCAAAACGTCGTCGTCTCTTCACCTTCTAGTGTGTGGTCTGGTCAACATACTTTAGCCACGTTATTGTGACTCATCGCCTGCATTTTACATCAGTGTTCACACTAGAAACGTTAGAGGACATCCTATCACCCACACAGATGTTTGAAAGAGGTGAAGATAATGAATTTAGGAATATTCCCATAACATGCGACATAATCAGGAAAAACATTGACAAACTAAATGACTAAAAAGCCCCAGGTGATAATGGAATGCAACCAACTAGTATACAAGAACTGGCAAAAGAACTATGCAAACCACTGAAGCTACTTTTCAGAAAATCTCTGGACTAAGGAGTAGTCACCATACATTGAAAATATACAAATGTCACTCCTATTTTCATAAAAAGGCAGAATGAGCTCAGCAGAATATTACCATCCAATCAGCTTGACATCACATATCTTCAAGCTAAGGGAGAAAATCATTGGGGAGGGAATCATTCACCATCTTTCAGTGAAACATTTTGTAAAACCGACACAACATGGGTTTGTTATAAATAGATCCTACCTTACAAACCTGTTCACGTTTTTGGAAACGGCAACCAGCTTCACAGACATGGGACTTCCGGTGGATGTAGAATAAATGGATTTTGCTAAAACCTTGGATTAGGTACCGCATTAAAGGCTGGCAAGGAAATTACAGACTCATGGAATAAATGATAGAATACTACAATGGATAAAACAATGGTTGAAACAAAGAAAACAAACGGTCATACTAAATGGATCCTAATGTGACTAGAGAAATGTAAGTGAGGTGCCACAGGGGTCCATTTTGGGGCCAACCCGTTTTATCATTCACATCAATTACACTGATTAGTTCCTTTAACAAGTAAGTAAGTAATTATCAAAAGAAGGCATCAAACCGGGAAGGCTATGTAGCATCATCAAACGCGCAGAATAATCAGAGGGTGCTAAATATCACCAAGGATGCCAATACGAGAACAAAAATGCATAAGGCGAACGATATCAAAAGTATCCGAGTCACCAAGAATTCTATTGAGGGACAGGTGACCACGAGGGGCGGTCGGAAAGCAAGACACACGCTCGTCCTGGAAGTCAGGACATTCAAGAAGGACATGCACGACCGTAAGAGGGACAATGCAACTAGGACAATAAGGAGCAGGGCGGCGCTCCATCAAGTGACCATGGGTTAAGCGAGTATGGCCAATACACAACCTCGCCAGAGCTGTTTCCCATCGCCGGTTACGGTGGTAGGAGGACGGCCACAAGGAAACAAAACATTTAAGAGTACATAGTTTGTTACCAGTAACAGACTACCAAGAAGCTTGCCAACGGGTAAGGACGGAGGAATGGATAACCGGGTAAAAGTCGGAATATGGAATACCTTTACGAGAGATGAGACAAGAGCGGACAGCTTCCTTGGCGGCAGCATCTGCACGCTCATTTAAAGACACACCAATATGGCTGGGAACCCAACAAAACTCAACCGAATTAAATTTACTGTGAACAAGAAACAGCCAATGCTGGATCTCGACAACTACTGGATGAACCGGATTAAAGGACCCGAGAGCCAAGAGGGCACTACGAGAGTCAACAACAACTACAAAGGAAGACTGACAACGAGAAAGCAGGAGACGAAGAGCATAGAGAATAGCATAAAGTTCCGCTGTAAAGATGCTAGTCTCCAGAGGTAAGCGACACATATAAGTGTGATCAGGAAAAACAACAGAGTAGCCAACACCGTCCGCAGACTTACACCCATCGGTGAAGACAGAAACGGAGCGGGAGTGAGAAGAAAAGTGCTCAAGGAAAAGGCGTTTTAGAACTGTAGGAGGGGTAAAAGCTTTAGTGATACGGGTCAACGATGTACAAAACCGCGGAAGAGGGACTCTCCACGGGGGCAAAGAAGGAACAACACGAGGAGAAACATTAGAAATACGAACGGAAAGAGAGTCCTGTAGGCGAGATAACCGGACAGAAAGACGGAGGTGGTGAAGAGGAACAGGAACCGCAGGAGGGGTAAAAATTAAAGCACGACAGAGGCGAGAGAAAGGATGTTGTAAGGACCGCGCAAGACAGCGAAGACAGTAGCGATCACGGTGGTCCTGGAGAGACAGAAAGCCAGTGTCAACATACAAGCTAAGGACGGGAGTCGAACGAAAGGCACCAGAACTGAGGCGCAACCCAGTATGGTGCAAAACATCAAGACGGCGAAGAGAAGAAGGAAAAGCAGGCGAGTAAGCAGGGGCAACCATAATCGAGCTTAGACAGGACGAGAG